ATATATACGTATATATATATGACACAGGGACAGGCTTTGCATGTATACATAAGGAATACAATCATGTATTACAGTGTAAAAAGCGCAATTTGGTTTCGAGCACGTTTGCAATTTAGAGATTCAGTCACAATACACCCACCGGTTGAATACGTACATTATTGTGCACCGACTAACACCCGAAATGTCTGGTTGGAAACTACTCGGTATATTCAGATATGAACATATTCAGATTCAATACCCTCCTCGGTCAGTACATACGTTACATAGTCATATTTTCTAACGTCCTGTGCCAAACGCTCCGACGAGACAAACCTGAATATTCTGTGACACCAGACGGCTGGTGTCGGACCTGTTACACTGTTCATTGGGCGGCATAATGGGTAAACTATATTAACCATGCACAAGGGCTTCTATATGATTGATTATTAGCTGTAAGGTTCTTAGCCCAGGATGGTTGCTCTCGACAGTAGTTTGGGATTAGTGTGACATGATCTCTAGACGGATACTAATGATTATCACAACGTTGATAAAGAAAGAATTCTTGGGTGATTTCGCGTATCAACGAGAGTAATAGTGCGATGATTGCACACACCTTCGCGACAATATATTAACGACTATTTAGCTCTACTTCCGTGTTATGCGTATTCTGCTATGTTGCCTCATCACAAACTATATACACCATTACAGAGCTGCTAGAACATTTTGGTAAATACTTTGTCAATCGAGATACATGCACAACCATTTGCATCCATTTTATTCTACTCTTGCGTCTGTGGGTAATTTCAGTTTTTTTTAACCAAACATGCTCCAGTTATTTTATCCTATAATTTTTCCAGTTTTAAACATGGGAAAGCATTTTGCTTTATTTATTTATAGTGCTCAATGATATGGTGCCTAAGTTAAGTTGACGAATTGTAGATCAGTTAAATCGATTTATGAACGTTTATCCACTTGCGATTGTCGTTCATTGCATACCTGTAGCCTGATTAAACATGTACTGCAACTTTCAATTTCCTTCTTGCCAATAGCCAAACCTCCTGATGAAAAAAAAATACAACTCTTCAATTTGCCTTCTGATGAAAAAAAAATTTACAACTTTCCAATTTGACAATTTTCGCAGCCGTTCTAAATTTTAGTCTAGGAGGCTACAAAAAAAAAAGGTTTTTTAACATCAAAAAACAATAAAACATCTCTCCCCTGGCCCTCACACTGGGCCTGAGAGCCATGAGTCCTTGGGCTCCCTCCGAGTCTTCTGAGAAATGGGATAAAAAAATAAACGTAGAAATATTGTTTTTAGTATTTATAGAAACTAAAAACCTCCAGAAATTTTAATAAAGTAAAAAAACGTTAAATTTCGAAATAGGTGCATTTTGAAAGTCACACGAGGGCTCAAGCCTTCAAGGCGGTAATAATATTTTGTCCGTTGTTTTGGAGTTCCACGTTTTGTTAAAAATTTGTATTGGCTATTCTGATTTTGTCGCTCACTTTTGTCTAAAAAGAAAGGGCAGCTTTTAAAAAAGTTAAAAAAGAATAGCGATTTTCAAAATTTGAACATATGTAAAGTGTAAAAATTACGCAAAGTGATTATTTTATTTACATACGCCTTGCCAGTTGCCGTTGCGCTCTGCGGCTCGCGCGGTATTTTCAAAAAAAGAAACCCATTTCTGACTTTTGAGTTCTGTGACTCAGTCTGACTCTCTGAGGACTGAGAGAACTCTGAACTCTGAAGCCTGAGGGACTTACTACTGTAGCCTGATTGCAGGTGGGTGGAATATATCACCAATAAATATCACTTAATTTTAAACAAGTCAGAGTCTATTGGCGAAATTGTTTTCGGAGCACTGAAAAATTCACCAATCATATTACATGCCAATATACCCAAGCTTATTTCAACATGGCCCTCTGGATTTGGGTCTCGAGCAGAAATCGGGGTCGTAGCGGAAATCGTGAATTTATCGACACAGACTCAAATCCAGAGGGCCATGAATTGTTTCAATTAATAAAACGACCATAAAACAACAACAAAAAGGCTATGAATTTTCAATTTTCATACACATACCCCCCCAGGGGCCCCAGCGCCCCGCCCCCGGCCCGGCGCCCTGGTGGCCTGGTCCCCCCGCCACCAGCAGAGGTTAGTAGTAGAGAGAGTATTTAGGCCGGTTTTGCCATCTTTTGAAAATTCTGTGATGATAAATACACAAAGAGCAAAATACCTTACTCCGGTAACTAAATCCATAATTTTTTACGCGAGTCCATAATTTCTTCATAATTTCAAAATATTGCAGAATTTTTAATTTTATTTTTCAGTATTTCAAAACTTCAATATTTCATAAATTGTCAATTCCGCTGCTTTTGCCAATTCCAAATTCCAAATTTTACGACGTAAAAATATTGAAGCAGTATTTCATTTCGTTGTATATTTCTTTGAAAATGAATGAAGAAAGAGCATTATAATTTCGGAATACTCTTTGGCTTTTGAGCGTGAAAAAGCATACAACAAAACACCGCGGTTTTTTTAGTTTTTGACACTTCTATTTGTATATAAATTATGTATACGTATTCTCCAGTTCTATTATAACTTCATATTGTACGCTTTGTTGGGTAGTATGTGCGGGGAAACAAGCTACGATGAAGAGTGCGAAGAATTCCAGTTGCAAGTAAGTAAGCAGCATATGACTCGCTTATTTATAGTATCAACAACACAGAAAACACTATGTACGCTATAGGTGACTGTATAGAAAAACTCTATCAAATATATGGTTCAGGTGGACGCCGCGACAACGTATACAATAAGAATCACTTTCGTGGACTAGAGGACATTGAAAGCGTAATGAATAGTTCAAACCAGCGCGTACATAAACAGTGTTTGAGAATGCCTCCCGTTGTGTTTGAGAAACTTATTATGGAAATTAAAAAGGTATATAAACCTGATGGACGGGCTAATGTAGGAGTTCACGAGATGTTATATATGTGGCTTACCTTCGCAGGTCAAAAAAATGACACAGGCGTATTTAGCTCAAATATTTGGACGGAGTACACAGACGGTATTCAATGGGATAAGAAAGGCAATATACTACATCAATCTGGCGCTCTACAAAAATTATGTTGTTATGCCTACTAAAGACACTCCGGTACCATCCAAAATAAGAAATAACACTCGTTTCTGGCCTTTCATTAGCTGCGTAATTGGGGCACAGGATGGCTCACATATGCCAAATACTGTAAGAGAAGAAGACAGGAAAGGCTTTTTGACCCAAATGTTTTTGCGTGTGTGTCGTTAGATCGTAGTTGTCAGTTTACACTGTGCGGATCCATAGGGTGCGTACATGACGGTGCTGTCTACGAGAGGGTAGTGAGACCATCGGGATGGGAAATGCCTAAAGGTATGTATGTATGTGTTTATATGTATTTATACCAAATATTAATTGTACTCATACATACTCGCAAACACACTATTCAGTGACCATGTAGTGCCTAACAACTGACTATCCTTTGTCGACTATGTAATGTGTACCAACTGGCTATATAGTGAATATGTAGACGTGCACGTTGTCCATACGGAAGGGTACCTATTCGTACGTGTGCGTATGTACTCATACGTACTTGTACGTACTTGTACATGTGTGTACGTACTCTTACGTACTCATACATACTCATACATACCGACTCGTACATACAAGTACGTTCCCATGCGTTCGAATATGGTGTACATACGTACTCGTACGTATAGGTACGAATAAGTACGTATTCAAACGTACTTGTACGTACTCATACGTATAAGCACGTACTAATATGTACATGTACGTACTTATACGTACTCGATCGTGTACATACGCGCACGTAACACAAGTATGTACTCATATATACTCACATATACTGTTCAGTAACTATGTAGGGATAATATTATTTATTTCAAAAATGACAAGTATGTATGAAAGAATGTACGAACATATGGTATGGCTCTCATAGTCGCTTTAGTGGTTCAGGAAAGATTGATGGGAAGAAGTGGTCAGTAAATTCACGTTTGAAGCTTGGGCCAAGTGAGTCGACAATGGAAGAAATGTGCTGAGTCAATTCAGGCTGGTGTTGACAAAACACTGTTACTATCGAATGTTCCATATATTCGCTTGCTGACCTACTAAGTAGAG